AGCTGGATAGGACGTAACTATTCTGTACGTAGCTAAGACTCATCATGCTGTTTAAGTCAACTCAGGCTTCCAGAATCTGTTGTGAAGACCAGAAGCCTTTGAAGGGAACTCTCCCAACACTTGAGCCCTGCCGCTTACTGGTTGGGTTTTGTTTTGTTTTGTGAATGAACCTTCAGTCTTCTTATTTGTAAAATGTGAGTAGTAAGTAATGAATAGTAACAGTAAGGAGTGTATATGCTTTAGTTGAAATACCTAAGACCAGGAATGTTCTGGGTGGTGGAATATCTGTCTCCTCTCTTCTCTTTTCCTCCCTCCCTCCCTCCCTCCCGCGCGCCCGCCCTCCCTCCCTCCGTCCCCCCTCTCTCCCCCTCTCTCAAATGAGAGAATAGTTATTTGCATAGATGTAATGAGATATCTTAGATATGAGACCCAAATCTATACATGAAATTCATTCATTTTTTGTGAATACCTAAAAATGCATAAAGTGAAGGTAATTTTATATATATATATATATATATAATTTTAAAAAATAATTTTGTGTGTAGAACAGTTTTATGGTATGGAATTTTTTATTTGCATCAAATTGACACTCAAAGTTTGGGATTTTAGAACATTTTAAATTTCACATCAGAGATACTTAACCCCTGTATCAGTTACAGGTTTATTTCTTGGATGCCTGTAAGTTCCTGCGAATATTACTCAGCAAAATCTAAATACTGTTCTCTGTATTTTGTATGTGAAATCAACATTAATAGGTCATCCTTTTTTGGTTTTGTAAAGTTAGCAGAGGCAGATAAATTATTCTCACTTTGATTTTACTGTGATAAGTTTCTTAAACTTCTGCTATAGAACTTAGGACTTTATTATCCCAAATGGATACTGTCTGTGTACTTACCATTGCAAAATTGTTAACTCCTCTGACAGTGTCTTAGTCTTTTTCTGTTACTCTAATGAAGTATGAGGACAAAAGCAATTTAGGAGAGGCTTATTTTCTGACTCACAGTTCAAGGTACAATCTATGGGAAGGAGGTCAGGGCAGCAGGAGCTTCAAACAGCTGTTCATGTGACACCCACAATCAGAAGACAGATTAGTGCATATTAGTGTTGAGTTCTCTTTCTCCATTTTATACAGTTTAGGATCCCAGCCCTGGAAATGGGTGCTACTCATAGTGGGCAGGTCTTCCTATCCCAGTTACCACCACCATCATCCCTTACCAGCAAACTCAGAGATGCAAATGTACTGTCCCTCCCTCCCTCCCTCCCTCCCCCTCTCTCTCCACACATTTTTTTCCCCTACAATAATAACAATAATAATTTGAGATGGAAAGGTAACACAAAGACATTTATGATTTCAGACTATTTTGTGTTATATGAAGCATGTTTCTTCTTCTAGATTCATTATTTTTCTTTTTTAAACAAAGCTAGTTATATTCTTTGATACGTGACAACCTTTATTTACTATATTCAGTAAAAGTTATATAAGGAAGTAAGTAAGTATCCTTTTTGTGAAAATGTTTATGGAACTTAAAAATTTCAGAACCATTTTTCTAGGCAAGAACAGTTAACATATTTTGTAGTTATAATAATGTCTTGATGATGAAGGCGATATAGCAAATCAATTTTTAAAAAGGCTGAGATAGAAATGAGTGTTTATACATTCTAAAAATTTCATTTGCACACCAGTGTTTGCCTGTCTGATACATGTCACCAGGTGTGTGAGCTCAGAAGAGGGGTCAGTCAGAACCCTGAGCTGGAGGGACAGATGATTTGGACAGTTTTATTTTGTGCACCTAGTTTTGCAGTTCTTCTATCTGGTTGTGTGGCTGTTAGCAGTTGTGAGAAGTGAATACAGCGATGTCCGTAGGACCAGAGAATGCGAGCTCTGATAGAGAGGAAGATGGAGATGGAGCAGAGTGCAGTGCACACTCAGTGTAGCTCTGACTCTCACCGCCTCTACTTTCTCTTCTGTTGCTATAGAAATAGATACTTAACGTGTTTCTGATGTGTGGAGGCAGAAGTGGGAAGATTGCTTAAGCTCAGGCATTTGGGATCAGCCTGGAGAACATAGTAGGACTCTGTTAACAGTAATAAGAAGCGTATATTGGCTCTTGAGTGCTTGGCTTTGGGACAGGCAATGAATGGCTTACTAGAAACTTTTGTTGTTGTGCTGGTGACAGAGCTGTTTTGTGGCAAGTTTTTTTTTCTGGGGAGATGCAGCACATGGATCTACTCACTTCAGCTAGGGATCCCACCACAGAGTCAAGCACAGACACCGCCAAAGTCAACTCGGGGAACCAACGAACTCTCCTGGGGTTACTTGCAGGAATATGAGTGGTGATTGCTCACAGGAGCAGACATGTCTCACAGACAGCTAGCTATATCACCAAAGCCTACCCTAGCATAGGTGACAGCTCACAAAGCTGGGAACCTGGAGCTCACTGCACAGCCTGCAGGCAGACCAACAGTTGGGCGAGTGTCATTGTCAGGTGCCTCAGCTGGTTTAAACCTTTTCCAGGCAGCTTGACTGTTTCTGATCACTGCAGGCAGGTGTCTGGTCAGAGTCTTCTGTATCTTGGCTTGCCTGATAATCTTTTTTTAAAGCATCATTTGAAGATTTATTTATTTATTTCATGTATATGGGTACACTGTTGCCATTTTCAGACACATCAGAAGAGGGCATCATGTCCCATTACAGATGGTTGTGAGCCATCACGTGGTTGCTGGAATTAAACTCAGGACCTCTGGAAGAGCAGCCAGTGCTCTTAACCATCTCCAACCAGAGAATCTTCTTTTCAGCTTTTACTGCTTATTCTGTCAGGGAGGGACCTAGGGAATCTTGATAGTTTCAGGGATTTCCTGGAGTGTCATCCATGCTGCAGTGGGCTTTGGCTTGTCTTGGAATCTCTGTCTGGGGTGAATAGGGGAGAGAAGAGAGTGTGTGTGTGTATGTGTGTGTGTGTGTGTGTGTGTGTGTGTGTATGTGTGTGTGTGTGTATGTGTGTGTGTATGTGTGTGTGTGTGTGTATGTGTGTGTGTGTGTGTGTGTGTGTGTGTGTGTAGCGCTCAGGTTGCTTTGTGTGCTAGGCAAGTGCTCTATCACTGAGCTACATCATTGTCCCATGAAATGGATTACTTTAAAGTACATTGAGAAAATAATTATAACTAGAGCTATTCACTGGCTATAAAATGATAAATTTTCAGAAAGGTTACTCTTTGGAAGCCCATAATAAAACTACTATCAACATAATTTTTAATTGCTTGCTTATTTCTTAGCTATTACATTGATGACTTTTATTGATTTACATGATTTGTACCAAGGTTTAAAAATGGGTGAGGGGAGTTGGTAAGATGGCTCAGTAAATGAAGTGCTTGGGGATTTGAGTTAAGGAATAGTTGCTGACTGAAATTCAGGACCTGGGAGGCAGACAAGGAATCTGTGGGGCAGACCAGCTAGCTAGACTATTCAAATTGTCCAGCTCTAGATTCAGCTTGGAGACCCTGCCTCAATAAATAAAGAGGAGAGTGATGGAGGGTGGCACTGACATCAACTGTGGGCTTTCACATGCACATGTGTGTGCCGCATGCCCTGGTGATACCTCAGAGTTACGGCCGACACATGAAATGCCACACATGTTTTTTCTGTATACACTTACTTTTGGCCTATTCTGTGTCTGAGAATTTAGTTTTTAGTTTTCATAGCATTTGTTTCATATACCTGGAAAAATATCTCAGCTAATATGAAGAAAGTGGATCTGTGTCCTATATCATTACAATGCAAACAGAATGTTAATTTTCTTTGTTTTTGCTAAGAGGTTGATTATTATATATAAATTAAAAATCATCTATAGATTATTTTGACATTATTAAATCTTTTGTTGCCTTACAATTAAAAATATGTATGTTTTTCTACTTTCACAATCTACATTCACCTGTTTTTTTCTTTTCTTTTTGGGGATAAAGGGGAAGAGGATGTGAGTATCCAAAGTCTCATGGAGCTTAGGATGGCCTTGAACTTGTTATGCACTCAAAGATGATCTTGAATTCTGATCTCTTGCCTCTTCAAGCTTGAGCTATAGAGATAATACCACCATACTGTGCTTATACAGTTCTGAGTTTTGAACCCAGGGCCTCATAGATGTTAAATACATTCACAACTACCTGTCCTCCCCTTTCCCTCCCTAAGACAGGATCTTGCTGTGTAGCTCTGACTAGCCTAGATTAATTTCACTATGTAGCTCAGGTTGGCCTTGATGGGCATCTTTCAGGCTCAACCTCTTGAATGCTAGGATTTAAGGTATGCGCCAACATTTTTATTTAAAGTGTATGGGGTGTGGAGTGAGGTGGGGTGGGGTGTGTGTGCAGGTGCCTGTAGAGTTTAGAAGAGGGCATTGGATCTCTTGGAGCTAGAGTAATAGGCTTCTCAATATGAGTGCTGAGACTCGAACTTGGGGTCCTCTGCAAGAACAGTTGCTCTTTCTGCTAAGCTGCCTTTCCAGCTCCCAAACTACAATAGTAATACATTTAGCCATTTCAGCAAGAGGAATTATTGCTCTGGGGTTTTATTAAGAAGTAAGTAGTATCATATGAGTGATCAACACATGGAGTATGCTTGTTTTTATATTTTCATTTCTTTGTAAGTAGCCCAGGCAGTCCACAACTTGTTTCTGATCCTCCTGTGCCAGTCTCTTTATACCAGCAACACATTTGTGCTTTTTTTCCTACCTTAAAATGACTTAAAATTGTCCTAACTTTCAAAACATCTTAATCCTTACCTAGAAGTTTAAAACACTGCAATCTATTGTCCTTGATAAACAGCTAGCATTGATGGGTCATTGCAATTGAATTGTTAGTTGTGAATTATGTTTAATCCAATAGCATGTACTTAAGGAAAGAATTTTGTTAGATTTTTCACATTTAGTTACAACTATTTTGCCTAGCTGTAAGAATGTGTTTAATTCAGTTCTTTTGGGTTACTAACTTGTATTTTCATACTTTTACAGGATAGAAGAGAAGAATCAGTGACTTGGAAATTTAGCCAAGTGAAGTGGCGGGATGGGCTTATACCTGACACATTTTATAGAGGTAACTCACGAGTGCTTTTTCTAGGCTTTGGTTTTTACATTCGATTCTTGTCCTTATGCTTACACAGATACTCTTTATTTCCTGGATAGTGCTTTTGTATTGCTTGTGCATAACATCACCTTCAAAGAGTAGCAGGCAGTTCTGTGTGTTTTGCACAGATACACTGAAGAGAATTCGTAAGTTGAGGGCTATTGTCTTTTCTTTTAACCAGATCTGGTTTCTTTGATCCCTCAGTTCTTTTATGTTAAGAGGACAGTTGATGTCTTGGTGTTTGTATTAAACTCGTGCCTTTATCAGACAACATGAAAGAAAATGAAATGTTATAGGATATTTATGTATTACAGTTACACACATCCATCCATCCATCCATCCATCCATCCATCTAGGTTTTTTTTTTTGAGACAAGGTTTCTCTTTGTAACACTGGTTGTCTTGGAACTTGCTTTGTAGACCAGGATGGCCTCCACAATACCATCCCACACCCTCCCACACCCCACCCCCAATTCACTCCTCTTCTGTTTCTCTTCAGAAAAGGGAAGGCTTTTCTTTTTGCATGTGAACCAAACATGGCATATCAAGTTGTAATAAGATGAGGTATATCTCCTCATATTAAGGCTGGATGACGCAACCCAGTTTGAGGAAGGGGATCTCAAAAGCAATCAAAAGAATCAGACAGCCTCTGCCCCCACTGTTAGGAGTCCCACAGGAAGACCAAGCTATACAACCAAAACATATGCAGAGGACCTAGGTCAGACCATGTAGGCTCCCTGACTGTTGGTTGGTTCAGTCTGTGAGTACCTGAGCCTAGGTTAGTAGATTTGTTGTTTTCTATGGCGTCCTTGACCCCTTTCATTTCTACAATCTCCTTTCACTCCCTTCTGCAGGATCCCCTGAGTTGCCTAATGTTTGGCTGTGAGTCTCTGTCTGCATCTATTTCCATTAGTTGGAAAGAATCTGGAAGCAAAGTTGGAGCTGGATGAAGCCTCACTGGTGATGATTATGTTAGGCGCATTATGAATCAGTTCCTTGACTTTCTTTTTTTCTTTTCTTTTTTTTTTTTTTTTAAATTGCTGGTCTTGTTTGGTTCTATCCTGGGTCTCTGGGTTATCCGGCCTCTGGTTCCTGGCTTTCTAGGTAATATCAGGTAGGCTTCCTCAAGCTGGACCAGGCACTAGTTGGCCATTCCAGAATTTCTGTGCTACCTTTACCCCAGGATATCTTACAGTGCAAATTGTAGGTCAGAGGTTTTGTGGTTGTGTTGTAAATGTTTTCTTATGTCAGTTATAAAAATTATTATAAAATTGTATTATAAATTTTTAAATTTGTTTTGAGAATTCTTTTAGACTGAAGATTGAAACATTCTAGCTTTAATGACCATATTTTAGGGTTTTCTTTATTGTCCATGTCTGTTGGCAAATGTGGTACATGCTACTTAAAACCTCCTTTACTTAGTTTTCATTGTAAGCAGTAGAGAATGTCACAATGTTAAAAACAAACAAGCACAGAAAAATGATCTTCTCTCATTCTTTGTTAATATTATATATTCTCCCAGATATCTCTGAATACACAAGGACCTAGTTACTGTTTTATGAGACAAGGAGTCTGCATACTTTATGCTGGTTTCATAACCCTTTTGTAGCCTGAGCTGGCCTTGAACTTTTGTGACAGTCCTCTGTGAGCTGGCTGCGTGCACCACCATAGTGGGTCATATTTACTGTTTAAAGACAGATTTTATGTAGAATGGATTTAAAATAGTGTCTTTTTATTGTTGAGTTATTTGTCAAAATGTCAAAAAATATTGACAAAATGTCAAAATATTGACCTTTTAAAATGTCATTGTGCTCGGCAGTTTGGATGAGTCTGCACCTCTCCAAAGTATGCCCAGCATCAGCAGTCACTAGAGTGAGCTCCTGTTTGTCTCCTTGACAACACCAGCAAATGATTTATATGTCCATGCTGAGGTTTTTTGTGTTTTGTTTTTTGTTTTGGTCCTTTTATAATTTTTTGTAATTTACATATTAGGGATAGGATCCTTGTTATTATGTTAGGACAATTATTTTTATTTAATATTTGCTTTTTTTTCTTTTCCAATTTTGGTTTTGTTTCAGTTCTACAGAAGTTAATTTTTTAAAAATTGTTAGATGCTTCTTATCCTTGGCTGTGGTAAATGTAGAGTGGAGGTTTCTGCATGCCCTTGAGTGTGTGACTATACCTTAACCTTTACATCATAATTTCTGTAAATGACCCACATTCCTAACTTGTCCTGGTTTAACATTCTTTTTCTCTCTTGGTGATATAAAATAGTGTGTATAACACTAGTAGCTTTAGATGTAGTGAACTGTGGTATTAAAAAGTCAATAATAGGACATAGAAAATGTAGCAAATGGGCTGCACGTCCTGTACAGCCTGGGTGGGTACCCCTGTACTCCCAGCACTTGGGAGGTAGAGGCAGGAACAGGAGTTCGGCTTGCCTTGGACATAAATTTGAGTCAGGCTGGGCTACTTGAGACCATGTCTCACAAAAGGGAGAAAGTTTAGTAAATGATAAGTTTGTTTAAAAAAATGTAGAAAAGAAAATGATAACCTACAAGACGCCATGGCTAATCCATCTGCATTTGTGGCTGTTGCACAGTTGCTGCTGTGACCCCAGCCAAAGTACAGCCAAGGGGAAGCTAGAGAGTCAGGGCAGGAAAGGGAGTTTGTCTCCTGACTGATCTCCCCAAAGCACCCACCTCAGTCAGCTTTAATTAAGAGACATGGAAAATAAGGCTCATTTCTTAAAAACAAACAAAGGAAACAGGCAGCCTGGTAAACAAGTTGGGATAGTTGGCTCATCATTTAGAAAAATGTAATAAAGATACCAGATTTTATATGTCTGTCTGTCTTTCTTTCTTTCTTTCTTTCTTTCTTTCTTTCTTTCTTTCTTTCTTTCTTTATTTATTTATTTTGAGACAAGATCTTACTGTAAAGCCCTGGGTGGCCTGGAACTCACTATGTAGAATGGGCTGGCCTTGAATTTACAGAGCTCTGCTAGACTCTGCCTCTCAAGTACTGGGATTAAAGGCAAGTGCTATCATGTCCAGCTCATAAATTCAGATTTTTAGGCAATTCAAGTTATAAAAAGTAATAGAACATTTATTTATCTAATTTGAATTTATTATGGTTGGAGAGCATATTTTGTAGGAGTTGAGTCCTTTTAATTTTACTGAGGCCGTTTTACCACTTAGTTTAGTGTCTTATACCTTAGTTTGCTAGTCTGCTGCATATTGTTAAAACTTAGGTTGGTCTCTGCCAGAGAATGTACATTTAGAAGCAGTATCTTCTTTTTATTTGTCCATTCTTTCTTTCCCCTCCCCTCTGAGTCTACAATCCCACCGTCTTCTAACCTCTGTTGTCACTGGTTGGAAATTGGCCGTTTTTTTGATGTTTGCATTAGTTACTTTTTGGTTGTTGTGATGAAACACCATGACCACAGCAACTTATAGAAGAAAGCATTTAATTGGGCTAATGGTTTTAGAGGGTGAGAATCCATGATGAAGGCAGGAACAGCTGACAGCTCACATTTTCAGGAAGCAGGAAAAACCATCCTGGGCCTAGTCTTGAAACCTCAAAGACTCCCTTGAGTGTCACATCCACTTCAACAAGGCCATACCTCCTAATCCTTTGCAGAAACTCCACTAGCTGGGTGAGCAAGGCTTTACACCTGAGCCCATGGGCTCTTCTCCTTCAGAGCAGCACAGTGGCACAGTGCCTTTCCCTTCTCCTGTCCAGATGCTCTGCTCCCTGTGCTTGTTTTCAACAGTTTTATTTTGATCCAGGAATAACACTTTTCAAATCTATTGCAGTGGAAGTTGATTGAGTTTCCTGGATTTGTAAGCTTATTTTTTAAAAATAGTCAAATATGAGGACTATTTGGCTTCTGTTTTATTAAATTTTACTTCTTTTTTCTCTTTCATTCTTATATTAAGAAATATTGGTAAGCAGGATTTTTGTTCATATGTCTCTGGAGCTCTTTATTTTTTTCTCTTTATTTAATTGAGTAATTTTCTTGTTTATTTTTTAATAAAGATTAACTTATTATATTTATTTATTTATTCTTGCTTGTGCATATATGGAAGACAGATGACAGTTTGTAGGAGTTGGCTTTCTCTTTCATACGCTCAGGCCACTAGGCTTGATAGCAAGAACTTCTACCCACTGAGCAATCTGGTTAACCCTAGTTGGGTAATTTCTATAGATGAACCATTAAGGCTACTGATTGTGTTTTGCAGTTGTAAATTTGGTTTTGAATACTTGGCATACCTTTTTGTATTTCAATAATCACATTCTTCTATTTCCAAATTTCTATGGATTTTTTGAAATAATTTCTTTGCTTTATTGAGAATTTTACTTGCTAGATGATTGTTTTCATAGTTAAAGGTGAAACATAAATTACATTCATAACAAAATAAATGCTTTGAAATCTTTGTTTAAACCAACCCATGAGAACAGTTAGAATCACTTTATATTGCCTGATTTTGATGAATATATATGCCTGTATCTCCCCCCAACCACCCTTTCATATTGCTTTTTTTAGACAGAGTCTTTCTATGTAGCCCATGTTGTCTTGGTACTGGATATGTAGACCAGGCTGATCTTGAACTCACAGAGATCTTCCTGCTTCTGTCTGCCAGAGTTAAAGGTGTGAGCCCCATAGTGGCTTGTGTTACCATTTTGAGAGCCATACTGAGGACTGAACCTAGGCCTCATGTATATTATGCAAGTACTCTGCTACTGACCCTGTAGTGTGAGTTACATTTTCTGGTGTTTTTAAGTGTCTTGTGACTGTCGAGACGGCTATTTTGTTATAATGTGATACACATATAATACTGCAAGTTTAGATCATCATTCCTCCCTATTTCTCTTGGGCTGGTTTTATTTTTCATATTGTTTATGTATGATAACAGTCCTGTTGAAAAAGAGAGCACATTTTGTGCATGTTTTGATAACAAAAACATAAGCATAAATATTCAGAAAAAATTAGGAGTAGAGTAGGTGGATAGGTTTGACTTTGAGCTTTCAGATGCCTATAGAAGTTTTAGAAGTTTATCTTTTGTTGTATCAGGCCTCACTGTAGCCCTGGCTGGGCTGGAACTCACTGTGTAGACAGGGCTGTCCTCAGACTCACAGAAATCACTACCTCTGCTCCCCTAGTGCTGGGAGATTAGTACTGTTTGTGCTTTAAGTGGGCACTATTATCCTTGTTGCCTTTGTGCCATTGTAAACATGTCAGAAAATGTCTGTAAATCCAATGCAAACTGTGCATGGACCCCATAGGGTAGGAAGTTTTATAACATCATTCATTCATTTGATACTTTGCCAAGAAGAGCTTGCTGTCAGAACATTTTCTTGTGTATAGCCTGTGTTCTTCGCTCTAGGTTATATTATATATTTTCTGTGTGATTATTTCTAAGATTACTCTGATATTCAATTTTAGGATGATACTCTTTCTGTTATGAATATACACACTATTGGTATTTGTTATTTTTGAGACCTGTCTTTATCTGCTTCTCTTTCACTTCACAGACTTTTTTTTTTTTTTTTTTTTTTGAGACAGGGGTTTTATTTTGTAGGTTGGCTGGTGATCTGGAGCTCACCATGTAGACCAGGCTGACCTAGAGTTAAAGGAATGTATAACCACACCAGTCTACAGACCTAATAAAATAGATTTGACTAGTGTCTTTGTGTTGCTGCTTACCTTATAGTTCTGTAGCCCTCTGAAATTTGATGTAATATTTCATATCTCAGAGTTGTAGATTCCAAGACTAGGCAAATTATATTTACCTAAAATCTTACCCATCCATCCATCCATCCATCCATCCATCCATCCATCCACAGAACGTGTGTGTGTGTGTGTGTGTGGGGGGGGTCAGCTTGCTAGAATCAGTTCCCCACTGCCTCCATGTGGTTCCCAGGAGTCAAACTCAGATTATCAGGTTTGGCAGCATGCATCTTTACCTGTTGATCATCATTCTGGCCCCAAATCAATTTTTCTTAAAAATTGGGGTTGCTTCTCAGTCAGTTCCTCTCCCTCAGGCACAGCTCTGTAGACTGCAGGCATCACACAGTGTGCACGCGGTATGTCACAGCGTGTTTTCCCTTGCAGAGTGGAGTATGTTTCCCTTATCCCTTATGTATTCTCTTGTAGGCATTGGATGGCGCAAGTGACTGAGAGGATCCCGAGAGTTTCTGGAGCCTGTGAAAGGTAGAAACTCAACCATGATTTCTCTCTCAACTCAACAGCATTCCTTTCCTTGAAGTCTTCGTTTTTACTTCAGCCTCAGGTAACTTTATATCTTATAATCTTGAAAAAGTACATTTTACTTATTTATTTTTAGGCCGTGTTTTAATTAAGTCATGAATAAAAACAGCATACAGTTTGAAGTAGCCATTCTAGCTATGAAGGCCACTGATGTATATATAGTTTTGGACTAGGAAAGTGTTTTCAATGGCTTCAGCTATGTTGAAGTTAATTTTTTCAAATATAAACATTGTTTTCTTGGATGATAGATTTTTGTTATTGAGTTTGTATAATAGTTTCAGTTTGGATATTCATATGTTGAGGAAGTATGTATTTGTTTGTCTGTTTGTTTAGTTTTTTCAAGACAAGTTTTCTCCATGTAGTCCTGGCTGTCCTGGAACTTAACCCTATAGACCAGGTTGGCCTTGAACTTAGAGATCAGCCTGCCTCTATCTCCTGAGTACTAGGATTAAAGTTTTATGTCACAATGCCTGGTTTCTTAAGAGATTTTTGAGATGAAACTGATTAATATATTGTGTAATAAGAAGTAGTAGTTGTTCTCCTTAACAATGATTATACTTTTACCCCACCATCCCAACATTGCATTTCTAAGAAAATCTAGAGAAACTTTTTATTCCAAGAAAAAAATGTTAGACTATTATTATAATTGTATCTTCCATATATTTTTAAATACTTTAAAAAATATTGATAGAAATGTAACTGATGGCTAATGTCAGCTAGTTAGGATCTAGAATTGTCTAGAAACTAAGCCTACAGGCTTTCCAGTAAGGGATTATCTAGGTTAAGTTTAAGGTTAAGGTTAAGGTTAAGGTTAGTGTCTGAGACTGTCTGTGAGGAATTAATTGATGTGGGAAGACTCATCACAGTTGTAGATGAGACCATGGCATGGACAAGGAGTCCTGTACTGTATAAAATGCAGCAGCTGAAGCTGAGTGCTAGTGTGCTTCATTCATTGTTCACTGCCTGACTGTTGATGGAGCCTGTCTCCTATACTCAAGTAGAGGCCTGCTGCCTCTACATCCCTACTTTGAACTGGGAGCCAGAATAAGCCCTGTTTGTCTTGAGTTGCTTTTGTCTAAGTATTTTATCACAACAAAAGGAAAAGTGCTCTAAATGTGTACATGTTGTATGTTTACCTATAGTAAAACAGCAAGCAAGCAGTCTGATGTAGTACCATGTAGAATTGGCTACGGCGATAGCCTTATAATCATAGAAATATGTTTTTATGTAAACTATCTCATGGTTGTATGGAGGTTCCATAATTCTGATGCTCTAGGACACCTTTGCTTTGGGGAGTTGGGTAGGGTGAGGTTGTTGAGGACTATTGAGCTTAGAGCATTGCTCATTCTAAGTGTATTATACTCTGTCATTGAATTATCCTCGGAGCCCATGCTGTTCTGAATAGTTTTAAAAAAATTTTAAAGATTTTATGCAATTGTGTATGAGCATTTTGTCTGCTTGTATGTGTACGCACTACATGCGTACAGTGCTCTTAGAGACCAGGAAAGGGCAGTGGCTTTGGTAAACAGGAGCTATAAGTGGTTATCAGTCTCCATGTGGGTGCTGGGAATCTAGGATAGGTTTTCTGTAATAGCAGCTAGTGCTCTTAACCCATGAAGGATCTTTCCAGTCTATTATTAATATTTAAATTCCAGCTTGTTGGGTATGGTTGCTACAGTGCCTGTCAATGGAGGGAAGGAAACAGAAGAATACTTTGCATTTTTGTAGGCAATTTACTATTTTATTTTATGTATATGGATGTTTTGCCTGCATGTGTGTCTGTTCTGGTTATCTGTAAGAGCAGCAAGTGTTTTAACTACTGAGTCATCTCTTCAATCCCAATACATAACTTATTAGATAGAAGACAGTAGATTTGGGATATGAGTATTGGGTAACCAGCTGTCTGTCACACTAGAGTTTGTGTTAGATTTCATTTTATAAACTGTTATACAATTATAAACTACTTTTAAGTTGTCATATTTACAGATTTTATGGACAGTTAACATCTTTTCTGTTCTTAGACAAATCATAGTCAATGATCTAGCACATTAAACAAAGTATCAGGCATTAAACATTTGTTCATTATATCTAGGGAAGTTTAAGAAATATTTCTTATATCTGTGCTACATAAAATGATGGAATTCAGTTTTCTATGGAATGAGTAGTTTGAGTTTGTGCTAGTACTAAATGTAATGTCCAGTGTAATCAGGACCACTGTGTGCTCCCCCAACCCCATCCTTCTCATCTTGATAAAGATAAATGATACCTGTTTCTTAAATAGTTGGCAAAAATGCAGTGTTTTAGATTCTCAGTGTCACTATATTCTGGTTGTGTCATTTTAGAAGACATTTTGATAAATATTTGAAATATATTATGTGCTTAGATACTAGATTTTTGAGTGGTTTTCCTGTTATGTTGGAATGTCTGTTAACTTTCCTTAAATATTTATAGATTATTTTTCTATAGTTAAAAATGGTCACTTTTATCTAAGTTGTCATATTTACAAAATGGAGAAACTTTATTCTAACTAATAATTTTATTACTATCTGTTAAATTATGTTTATCACTTCAATGTCTTCTGCTGCTCGCATTGAACATAACTCTCACTAGGCTGTTTTGAAATACTAGCACTTAAAAATAGTTTTCAAGAAAGACCTTATAATATGCAAAATGATGTTTATACAAAGATATGTCGCTGGGCATGGTGTCATGCCTGTAATTCCAATGCTTAGAAGGATGAGACAGGAAGATAGCTGTGAGTTCAGGGCCAAACTGGTTCTTGTCTCCAAAAACCAATATTAAAAAACTAAAACAGCCGGGCAGTGGTAAGGCACGCCTTTAATCCTAGCACTTGGCTGTCCTGGAACTCACTCTGTAGACCAGGGTGGCCTCGAACTCAGAAATCCACCTGCCTCTGCCTCTCAAGTGACAAGCTAATATTTTTATGATGAGATTTCTCTCTGATTTTCATATAGAGTAGAACTATGAATATCCAGATTAATGTAACTGAAATTTGGTGAAAATGTTTTGGTTCAGAAGTTATTTGTGAGGTCTAGGGACATAGTTCAGTGATGAATGCTTATCTCCCAGGCACATGCCTCTGGGTTCTACCCCTAGTGTCTTGGTGATGGGCTAGAGAAATAATTGATTTTCAGAATAAGTACCTTTGAGTGTCTGTCTAAAGAGAAGTTTCTTTTTAGGTTGAGAGGGTGGCATAATGTTGACCCTTGAAGAATAATAAATAATCTAAGTTGGGAATTATTCTTTTCATAGAAAGTAAAATGATGCTTAGGTTCATCTGCTTGCCCATCAGTATTCTGTTTTGACTCATAATGCACATTTGAAGTTCCATAGTGTTCAGTGACAGAGAATAGGAAACAGTGTTACCACCAATCTCAACAAATAAATAGAAAAGCAGAATCGTGAAATGAGGTCTTCTCTTCTCTTCTCTTCTCTTCTCTTCTCTTCTCTTCTCTTCTCTTCTCTTCTCTTCTCTTCTCTTCTCTTTTTTTAGTATTGCTCTTTATGAACAATATATTGTATTTCAAAAATTACAAATGGATGTAGAAAAATTCAGGAGAGATTATCTTCATTATGATTTGACAAAAAAGGAGGAAATAAGGTAGTTTAAGAGGATAAATATGGGAAAAAAGAATAGCTTTTTTTTCCATGATAAATAAAATAAACGGAGGTGTGACTAATAAATGGAAAATGGAAAATGAGAAACGTAAAAAGGGATCTTCTCACCCAAAGGAGGACGATAGATTCTGCATCAGGAAATTCTCATGTGAGCCTCAAGGTGAAGGGTACTCAGAAAGGAAGTGAAGGGTATTCAGAAAGGAGGTGAGAGGGACTCAGTAAAGAGGTAAGGGGTTGAACTCATCTCCGAGATGTTGAGCCAGTCAGCTCCCTTATAAAGAAGTCAAAGATCTGCCCCATTTCAGTGAAAGCAAACAAACGCTCCTCTATACCAGTTGTCCTGAACTAGGTGAACGACTGTTTCAGGGTTTTCTCTCCCCCAAGTTCCACCTAAAAAAGTTTTGAGAGGGGAAAAAAAAAGAAAAAAAGGTGAGGGGTGCTCAGTAAGGACACCTCAGGTGTGGTCAGTAAGGAGATGAAGGGTACTTAGACCTGAGTGATGGCTTTGTAAATCTTAGTAGTGGTGATGGAGTTAGCCTCAGTAGGTAGTGAACAAAAAATGAACTCAATAACTTCTGGACAGTTCTAAAGCCTTTTTGGGTCTAGAAGTTGCTTGATATAGTAAAAACTGCGTTGGATCAAAGAAGTTTCATTTTAAATTCCAGTTTATTTCATAACTGTGTGACCTTGTGTGAGGTTCTTTGTTAAGTGAGGCTTATTTAGCACAAGAACACCAATGGAGGAGTTAGGGGAAGGACTGAAGGAGCCGAAGGGGTTAGCAACTCCATAGGAAGAACAATATTAACCAGCCAGACCTCACAGAACTCCCAGGGACTAAACCACCAACCAAAGAATACACATGGAGTGTCTCATGGCTTCTACTGTATATGTAGCAGAGGATGGCCTTATTTGCCATCAGTGGGAGGAGAGGCCCTTGGTCCTCTGGAGGCTCAGTGATCCAGTGTAGGGGAATGCTAGGGGACTGAGGTGGGAGGGAGTGGGTGGGTAGGAAAGCACCCTTACAGAGGCAGGGGAGGGGGAGGGAATGGGGGTTTAACTGGGAAAGGGGATAATATTTGAAATGTAAATAAACAAAATAACCAATAAAAAAATATTGAGCAAGGTAAATTGTATAACAGTGTCCAGCCCAATGATTTTTACCTAGTAAATAATCACATATATTAATTAGTTGTCAGCAGAATTCTTCCTCTATTAATACCGTAATTATTTATAATATAGACACAAACCTACTCATGACTGCAGAATAATATTCTTCACATTAATTGCATAAAATTCCTTTTAAAACTTAATGTTTCTAATTTAATGAAAAATAAAAAATAACTTATTTTAGTGTCTTGTATAGTTGATTAAAAATGAGTAGTAATGCTCAGCTTGTGTATATGTGACACTTCTGTTGAGTGCTGAAGCAAGCCCTCAGACGCTGAGTCTTAGAAGTGACAAGCGCTTGTATTACAACTTAGATCTTAGCCAGGCACACACCTTTAGTCCCAACTCAGCAGGCAGAGGCAGGCAGGTCTCTGAATTCAAGAACAGCCTGGTCTACAGAGTGAGTTCCAGGACAGCCAGGGCTACACAGAGAAACCAAATCAAACCAAAACTAAACCAAATGAACCCTTACATTCTTTAATAAAAGCTCAACTCAAAGCTTGTTTATTCTATATTTACTTGTAAATCTGTACACCTTGGTTTCTAAGTACTTGTGAACATTAAGTTAGAAGATGACGATAAGAGTCAGCTTATCTCTTCCTGAAAACAACAGGAAGAGGAGGCTGCTAATTGACATTCTCTTCCAAGAGTGTCTTCACTCTAGCCTTGAATGATAGTGGAATTACCCAAACTGCTACAGTGGAGATAATTTCTACATAGAATGAGCCGAACAGTTGTCAGTAAGAAATGACAGTGGTTGTGACAGAGAGGAGCACATACCACACAGCCAGAGACAGAGCAAGTGGGCTAGCTGTACAAGCTTACG